AAGAAACTAATATTATGGGCTGAACTATGCAGAAAAGAAATATACCATCAGATGTCCATAGCAGACACATGGCAAATTCAGAAGAATTTACAAGACTGCAACTTAAACTGTCAGCCACTGCTTGACAAAACAATTGTTATCCAGCTCTGAAGTTACAGATCTGTATAAGCATGAAAACTATACTTGCAGAATCACAACATTAAGATCTTTATGGACTTTTAAAGCACATCTAAGCTTGAATTTTGATATTCCATAAATGACAGACACAGCAATAAATACTTGATCTAGTCAAACGTTTTAGTAACACCTCTCTGTTTTCTATTTCTACACTTCTGTTATGGCCAGGATCCAAGCCAGGTTGGCAGCAGAAGGCAATCATAGCAGCCTTGGGACTGGGGGTGAAGGGACGGACGTGGGCAGTGAATACTGAAACACTGCCAAAAGGAAAGGAGGGTTTACAGCAAACAGAACACAAATGACATTCCCAAACCACATCTCTAAGAGGTGGAAAAACAAACCAAACAAAAAACTGTAAGACAAGAAAAAAGGCAGCCCACAAGATACTTTTAATAGGAGCATGAGAAACTCCCTGGCCACCCTGACGGTTGCTGAGGGAGGCAAGCAAAATCACAAGGCGAGCCAAGAGTTTGTTTTCAAGAAGCTAGCAGAGTCTTGAAGCTATCTCTACATTAAACAGTGAAGAAAGTAGTTTTTGGAAAGAAATCAGTAGGCAGCTCAGGTGCTATGGCTTCATGCATCAGTGAAAGTCTCACATGTGCTAAACTTCTATCTTCTTCTAGCTTTGAATGCTTCCAAGGAGGAGGTATTCACAACCTCACTGGGCAACCTGTTCCAGCTTCTCACCACTCTCACAGTAAAGAATTTCTTCCTAAAATCTAAATTTAGTCTAAATCTACCCTCTTCCAGTTTAAAGCCGTTTCCCCTCATCCCGTCACTACACTCTGCTATAAAAAGTCCCTCCTCACCAGTAGGTCCCTTCAGGTACTGCAAGGCCACTATAAGGTCTCCTGGGAGCCTTCTCTTCTCCAGGCTGAAGAGCTCCACCTCTCTCAGCCTGTCCTCATAGGGGAGGTGCTCCAACCCTCAGATCATCTTCATGGCTCTCTCACACTGGATGGTTGTGATAATACTACACATCACAGGAGCATTTTTTTGCCTTCTCAATTGACTTCTATAACAGACTGAGTATAGATTCAATACAAAATCTGAAGGTCAGACTACACAGTGCCATGGGTACCACACATCTCCGAGAGAAGTCAATCAGCAAGGATTAATTAAATACACAAAGGAAGGAAATTTTGCCAAGCACAGACATGCCACTTCTGCATTCACTTCTCAGATAAGGGAAATCTTTGAAACCAGTGTAAAGATTTAACAACCCAAGCAAACTAGCACCATCAAACCAAACGGATTAAACTCAGGGATGATATATCAGTGCATGCAAGCAAACTTGGCAATTTTATGTCTTCCCACATTAAAAGCCAGTACTGACCTGTGATTATTTTGTTAAATCAAGAAGTAATATGCAATACCCAGACTTTAACAGAACCTCTAGTCCGATCAGCTAAATAAAGCTGATTCTAATAAACCATAAGATTAAACAAAAGGGAATATTAAAAATAATAGCAACTAATGAAAGAAAAATAGGCCAAATTAGTGTTTGCCATTAAACTTAAAAAACTGGGTAGATAGTTGAAAACATTGGTGTTTTTTGATACAACCTATAATCTCATGGGACATTAAAAGCAGAACTCTCAATATACACATAAAGCATTCCAGTACTTGCAGTGCTCCCATTTTTTACGGAAATTAAAAATCACCATCATCACACCCACTTAACTATAGTAAATGTAAGCCTGGCTTCTAATCCCAGTAAGACAATAGACTATAATAAAGAATAAGATTATTAATCAATTGGATGAATAAAGCCTGCAAGAGAAAAGCAAGCACAGCTCCTGTGAAGGAACAGCTTGCTCAAGTTTCATGAGGACATCCATGCACAGATGAGTAATAATTGTGCAAAATGCTGGTAGCCAGGTATAGGACACAAAGGGGAAAATCTTAACAGTCAGTGTCCAGAAGAAAGAGAAGTTATAAGAGTTTCCAGGCATCACTGGCAACTAGCTTTACTCAACATCTCTATCAGTGTCCAACAGAACAGAAATCCCAGTGAAATCCCAGTGGGTTTTTTTAGATGAAACTGAGCTTTCTTTACATAACTCCATATATACAAATCCGTACTGAGCAGTAACGTCACAGAATCCACCTTAGAGAGACATGGAAGAAGCCATACAGAAAATCTTGGATTAACAGGAGAGAATGAATCTTTTCTGTTGCTTTCTGTTGCTTTCCTCAGCAAGATGTTGGAAAAAAGATGCTGGCCAACCAAATCTTTCCAGACTTCTATAATGGCACAAAATGGCATATCTGCAGCAAGGCATCACCCCATCATGCCACAGATATCCTTTGGCAAAAAGCTATGGCCATGCAACCCTATGTCATTTGTTCTCCTAGGACCCATCCTGGATGAACATGCCCTGCTCAGCACCTCAGCTATAAGGACCATGACAAGCCCACAAAGCATGTCGGGGAAGTAACACAAGTCTGTGACCCTGTGTCCAGGGCAGACCATGCTGCCTCCCCCCACACACTGCAGAAATTAGATATTGAGTATCAGTATCAATCTTAAGCATTTCACACAGCCAAAAGGTGCAATGCTGTATATATAATTTATAATTATCAATACACATAATAATAATACAAACTGGGACGGAACTGTTTTCTTCAGAGCGTCTGGTATGATGCTATGCTTTGGTTCTAGGAGAAAAACAATGCTGGTAACACACTGATGTTTATAATTGTTGCTAAGCAGAGCTCATTAGAGTCATGGCCAATCTCAGCGAATGGCCCAAGGATCTTGGAGGGAAAAGAATTAGAACAGCTGACTTAAACTGGTTATCCCATACCATATGACATCACCTGGAAGGAGTTTTGAAGGGGTGGGAGTTCATTTTGCTCTCTTCTACTGCTCAGGGGGTCAGCTGGGCATTGGTTGGGGGTGGTAAGCAATTACTTGTGCACAATTTGTTAAATACATTTATATATATACACACATACATATATTTATTTATATATATACACATATTTACAGAAAATGTTATATAAATGTAACATTTTAAATATTTATTTTATTATTTTAAAGTGTTTTAAAATATTTTAATATATTTGTGTATATATATATCAAGATATATATATATATAGATATATATATATATATAGATATGAAGCATCATAACTATTATCTTTTTCCCTCTCTCTACCTTAGTGGATGGTTTTGTCTCAACCCAGGAGTTCTACTTTGGCTTTTTTTGGTTATTCTCTCCCCAGTCCTACTAGGAAGGGCAGGGAATGAGTGAATGCTCAGCCACCTTCCAAGTTAAACCACAACAGAGACAGAAATCAGCATGGAATTACTCTTCATAGTATAAGGATTGTATTGTATGAGATCAATAAATGCTAAATCATTTTTAAGAGAAAAAAAAAAGTTGTTGGTTTGTGTTTTTTTTTCCAAATCGTGTTCCTGTACTGCCACCTAGAGATCAGAATAAAAAGTGTAAGTTGTAGCCAAGGTGATCTATCTGCAAGGAGCATAGAATGGCCTGGGTTGAAAAGGACCACAACCATCATCTAGTTTCGACCCCCCTGCTACATGCAGGATCACCAACCAGCAGACCAGGCTGCCCAGAGCCACATCCAGCCTGGCCTTGAAATCCTCCAGAGATGGGGCATCCACAGCCTCCTTGGGCAACCTATTCCAGTGCGTCATCACCCTGTGTGTGGAAAAACTTCCTCCTAATATCTAACTAAACTTCCCCTGTCTCAGTTTAAAACCATTCCCCCTTGTCCTATCACTATCCACCCTCATAAACAGCCATTCCCCCTCCTGTTTATATATTCTCTTCAAGTACTGGAAAGCTGCAATGCGGTCTCCCTGGAGCCTTCTCTTCTGCAAGCTAAGCAAACCCAGTTCCCTCAACCTTTTCTCACAAGAAAGGAGCAGTTAACTGCTTTTCTCATATCTACCTTTCATAAGATCTCACTGCTTGTTAAATGCAAACCAGACCCATGAAACACTTCAATTCTACTCCACAGTTCAGCAGGTACCCTCATTTCTCTGATTTACATATATATTTAAAAAAAAAAATTAAAAGGACCACCTATATGTGGATATATGTATCAGTAACTGAGTAACTTGCCTTTGCCTGGACAAACAGGAAGAAAGTCAGCTTGCACAGTTATGACCCACAGACTTTTTCCAGCCACTACACACTTTGAGTGGATGCAAGAAGAATGAGAATATACTTTTTACTATTCTTAACTTTTAGCTAACCTCTTAATTTGAACTGATACCACTCTTTCATAAATAAATATATACATATATATATATTTATTTTTTTTAAAGACAAACGTGTAATGGCACAACCGCCCACCGTACCTCAGCCGGCGCAACGACCGCTCCTCCCCACAGCCCTGAAAGCACGTGCCGGGCGTCACCGAAACACTGGCTGCACTTTTGTATTCTTAATGCACTGAGCTCAGATGCGAGCGTGCCCGGGAGCACGCGAGCAAGCGATTCTCTGGGAGAAGGGGGCTCTCATCGTTATCGCTTTAAATTGCAGCTGGGATGTACTGTAAGGACGGGAAGCGAGGTTCTGGGAATGCGTAAGCACGACGAGAACCAAACAGTTGTTAAAACGAAAAGATTACTGAGGTTAAATTCCTTCTTTTCTTTCCAAAAGCCTCCTCTGACCTTAGGTAAAGACTTGCGGGAACAGCACCCGCCCCGCGCCCCCGCCCACGTGCCCCCACCGTAGGCGGTACCGACGCACGCGACCCGCACGCACGCGACTCCTCCGTCCCGCCTCCATAAGGCGGGACAGCACACGATGGCGGTGCCGCGTTCTCGTGCCCGTTCGTACCTCTGGAGGCATTGCTCGCACACGCCGCCCAGCTGCTCCTTGGTCACTACGTAGGCGAAGGGCTCGGCTCGGTAAAGCAGCTCTCCGGGCCGCACCCGCCGGCGGGAGCGGAGTCCGCTGCCCTTGCCCGGGCTGAGGAAGCGCTCCAGCGCAGCCAGCTCCATGCTGCCGCAGCGCCGCTACCGAGAGGAGGGGGAAATCCTGCCCCCGCCACGTGACCCGGCGCTGCCGCCGCCATCTTAACTGAGGGCAGGGGCGCCCCCTGGCTGCTTCCTCGGCGGGCTGCTGATGTTGGCAGCGCGCGGTTGTGAGGAGCTCTCGGGGACAGCGGGCAGCGCTTTCTCCTGGTCGGTGTAGCTTTCAGTACATTGCGCAGGTGAAGTGCGCTGAATGCAGAGGCTTCATCTGCTCTTCCTCGTTGTGCCTTGAATATACAAGATGTATTTTCCATTATTGCCCTGTTTTCCAATTCAGGTTTTCTCACTCAAACATCCTGTAATACAACACAGCTACTGTAGCAGAAACCCAGGGATGAGTAACTGAAGAACAGGACTCTCATTAGTTTGGCACAAGCCATACACTGAAATAAACTACAGCAGCCAAAGAACTCCTTTGATCTGCATTTCAATTGATAGGACAATGAGAGAATAGTAATTGACATTTTGTAGTATGGGTAAGTTCTGAAACACAGCATGAATTATTTTACTGATGTAGTGATGGATACATCAACATCTGTAGGAATAGGCTGAAAAGCTGTTTCTGGATATCTGTATCTACAGTTTGCGCATAGGTTACCTGTGCAGGGCCACTCAACGCTCTTAGAAGAACTGACTGTTCGACTTGGATGCTTCTGGAAATGACAGTGAATATTTTCTAAAATGCATAATGATACTGTGGCTATAAAGGGTAATTTAGCACTTGACTGTATTTAATTGAATTAATCCCTGTTATTATTATAGCTTTTTTTTTTTTTTTTTTCTTCCCACAAGACCAAGTCATCCAACTGAGCTAGACAGGTCAGACATCCCAACAGCTGTATGAAATGCATGACACATTCTGCACAGTTGCTGCTGCCAAGGCACGTACTGGAGACACTTGTGGTACATACCACTGAACTGTGGCTGATGCTTCTGAATTAGTCATACTTCCTTAGCACCTGTAGATGAGACTTTGTAGTAGAAGTTCGTTATTCCCTCTCAAGACAGTATATTTGATAACATGAATTTACAAGAAGAATTGCAGTAATGAAGTGATATAAGCAGCATTCAAAATCCATTTCAACTGGAAGGGAAAACTGGATTTTCTTTGAGCCAAATAAAAAAGTATTAAGTTATAACAGTACAAAAATTGTTATCCCTAAAGGTATGGAGTAAATATCAGATTAGTTGAAAGACTGTAAGCACAGACAGGTCTCTTATGAACACAAGAATCTCCTGTTGATGTCTTTTCTCTGTTTAATGCTGTCAAACTAGTTAAAAATTTATTCTGAAGTGTAATATATTAAAAAAAAAAAAAAAAAAAAAAAAAACTCATTGCAAAAGCACTTTAAGCACAAATTCATAATAAATTCTACTTACAGGCAGATTGATTATCTGTTAATTCTCTACTATGAACTTCACAATGTTTCTACTTTTATTTGAACATTCCCTGCCTCAAACGTATTCACTTCCCTCAGATGAAATAAGCTTCTGAAGCTCATCTCCACATAATTTCCTAGCAAAAAGGCAAAAGTTATAAGGGTACTTTATATGAAAAATATTACACAGCATAGTTACACAAAAAAAAACCCTGTAATCTCCCATTTTTACAGAGAAGAATGAGTTAAATGGTCCTTAAAAATGTTTTGTCCTGCAATTTGTGGCAGGAATCATGGAATATTATTAGTAAAGTCTTCCAAAAACCCTACATGCAGCATGGCAAGCCTTTGAAACCTGATCTTTGTAATTTAAGCTGTTCTAGTACAAATGGCTGAATATTCCTGATCTGATTTATGGGTCACTTGTTGGAGACCTACACAAAATCAAGCAAAATCACTGCCAAGTCAAACTGGCTGATGGCTTCCTCTTATCTTCAGAGTGTGATTCTGCAGCAGAAAAGTCAGTCTTTGCATGTGTCAACAACACTGCAGCTGAAAACAGGGAAACACTACTGCTAATGGTGACATCAGATGTTTGCCATCACTATAATAATGCCCAGTAAACGAAGACCAAGACAATACATTTCTGCAGGACTGTTAGCAGGAGCAGCCATCCTGGAAAGATAACTTACAACATTCAAGTTTATGAATCATTCCAAACAATGCACAGAAGTTTTAAGTAAGCAGATAATGCTGAAGGTCTTAGTGCTTTATCACTGAGATTGAGTGTTAAAGTCTTGATTACTTTAAGAGTACTTGGCTGTTCCATTTGCTGTATTTCAGCTACTCCTAATTTCACCTAGCTTTCCTATGGTTGCTGTGCCCTGTGATCTATCAGCTGAGGATAGCGTGTGTATTTTTAGCAATGACCTGTAAAACAGCAAACAAGGAAAGACACAATAGCTATTGAACCAGGATACAACGTGAGTGCATAAGCACCTCCCACTGACTTGCTGTCCTTCTTGGACAAGTCACTTGTTATTCCCATTCTCTCATTATTTTTTTCAGAAGAAAGGGACAGCTTTAATTAAAGGCTTGCAAAACTTAAAAGGAGTTTTCAGTCTACAGCCCCATAGATTGCGTTTAGAGTGCCAGAATAATTAATTCAGCATCCTTCTCAGGAAACTTCAGGTTCTTCCTATCACATGTACACTTCTTAAATTACATCAGCAACCTATTTCTGGAATGTTGATGCTTTCTATCACTATAGTCATTATCACTTGTAAGTCTAAGCTGTAATTAGAATCTCCAGTGCTGAACTAGCCTAGTAGCCAGTATACACACATTCCACCTTACCGACTCCTTATCACATCACCTTCTGTGTTAACCAGAACAAGGTCAGAAACCCTTCTTCTCGATCAGAAGTGAGCTACTGTCAAATCCAACTTGACTGATCTCTTAAGTCCAAATGTCAGCATTTGTCATTAACTGGGTGGCATTAGAACTAAGCTTCTTTCTGAATTTGTGTGCACTGAGATTTTAATATAGCTAAGTACTAAAACTTTAAGCAATTACAATTCTGAGATTTTTCTCTACTGGTAGGTGGGCAGCACAAGTGGGGGACAGTAGGAAGGACTTACTGCCCTTGAAGTTACAATCAGTACAAAAACAGATACATTGATGCCTTACTGCAGTACGCCAAAAGCCTCCTGTCTCCTCCTCTAATAACTAAGTTGAAGAGCAGAGGCAATACTTAATTGGATGCACTTGATAGATGTCTCATGTTTTAGAAGTTCAAGAATTAAATCAGTCAACAACAAAAAATAATAAAGAAAATTCACACAACACAGGAAATAACTGACTTTCAATTACATACTGTACGTATGTTGTAACCATCGACTCAAAGATCACAAATTCAGACAGCAAAATGTAGGAAGAAATAAATCTTCCCCAAAAGCTAACAGTTAACTACTGTGACTTTTAAATCTATTATTTTGTATTTATATAAATTGTGTCGTAATGCAAAACTATATAAAACAGAACAGAATTGTGCAACATCTCCCAGTGTTAGTGCAAATTTCAAAATACTTTTTCTTACTCACTGTATCAGGCATGTGAACTCACAAAGTAAAGCACTTTCAGAGATGGGAAACTTTGCCATCCCATCACAATAGGAAAGCTATGCTCCCATTCAAAATCTAAACAGCAATGCTCATTGAAGATTCTGAGTCCAACTGGTACTGGAATACCTCCCTACCCTGCGCCATTTCCCTTGATCAGTTTCTGTATTCTTAGCCCACCTATGCTATAAGAGTATAAGTGTTTATCAAGCAAAATATGAAAAATACCCACAAAGCAAAGTTGCAGCCTGGGCTGTCTAAAAAAAATGCTAGAATAACCCTCATTACATATTAAATTTAGAGTCGTAACTGCATGATCCCTCTACAAGTTCATTAGAAGCTCCGTGAGAAAACCATTCACCACTGTCTTTACAGACACTAGAAGTGAAATTTCATCTTCACACAGAACAATATAGATAACAATAAATCCAAAACTACTGTGTACACTGAAAAGCCCAAAAACATTATTTAACCTCTTGATATGAAAAAGTAGTTTAAACTTTTAAGATATTGAATCAGAAATCTTAAAAAAATAAAAAATAAAAAATATTGCCTATAAATTGTTGAACGGTCAAGGGGATTTGTGACCAAATCACTGAAAACTCCTGCTTCGTTATTGAACACGAAAGGAACACAAGTAGTACAGGCTGAGTTAAAAGTTGTAACAAAATGAGAAGCTTTCATGCACAGGTAAAAATTTCAGCAGAACTTTGCATTCAGTACTCTTCTACAGAAACTATAAACCTCCAACACTAGGAATCACTGAGCACGTAGCATCAAAAACCAAATCCATTGACATCCCCATATTCGGTCATAATTCACAATATTCCTCACTTTTTCTACTTCTTTGAGCCACTTTTGTAATGACAGCCATGGCTCTCCATTTCCCATTTGCGATCAAGATAACACAGGTTCCCAGTTACACACTACTGCATATACTTACAGACTCCTACTGTTATCTTGGGAGTCTCTGCATTGGCTCTGTAAAGGCCTACAGCACTTAAAAAAAATAAAAAATAAAAAAAATAAAAAAAAAAAATCACAGTGAATCATTTTCTTTTTTTCAGTTAACATTCAAGACATTAAATAGATTTAGATAGATAGCAGTGGTCTTATATTTTACATATTGAATATTTTCCCTGGTATGTTGCTGCAGTAAGATACAAACATTTTATTCAAGGAAACAAAAATAAAAATCAGGCCAGGAGACACTGCATTCCTGTTAACCAGTAGATAAGAGATAAGACAGTTACCATCTACTGAACTGATAACAGGTAGAATTGCTTCTGTTCAAGTCAATTCATAATGCAAATTATCTCAACTACACACTAAGATATCTAATCAGAAAAAAAAGCCATGGATCTTCAAGATCTATATCATAACAGCAATATTGCTCTAAAACAGAATGCAAATTAAGCTTTAGCCTTTCCATTAGTTTCATCATGTGAACATGACACAAGACAGCAACTT